ACTAAGTCAATGGAGTTAAAAAATTTAACTCAAGAAATGTGTTAACTTTGACTAAAATTTAATGTGTTTTTTTACTATATGCATATGTTGAAATGAACTTACAATTTAGTAAAAAATGACTCACTATTATGTTTTAATTTACTAATAGTTTTAACCTATAATGTGTCAAAAAGTTACTCAAAATTGAGTTAAATATTACTATTTATTACAGTTATATTTAATTAATCATATAAGTATATTTTAATGCATTAAATATAGATAACATACGTGTATGTGTACATGTTTTATTTGTTGAAATTTTACAAAAATAAAATATATTTTAAGAAAGATAAGCTATAGATAAGTATGAAGCTGATTTAAAAAAAATATTACAGCAATTTTATAGATATACATACATCTGAAGTTATATCTTAATTATATATCTTTAGTTGAACATACTTTGTTTCGTAAACATATATAATAGTTTTCATTATCAACAAAAAATAGTTTACAGGCGCAATAAGTTCGAAAATCATACAATGCTGATTTTTTTACATATATGAAATCTTCTGAATAACGCACAACATAAGCATGAAAATGATCTTCAAAACCAAGTGTTATAAATAAATGAATATAAAAATAAACAATACCAGATGAAGATATAATTTGATTTATAACACCGAATAGTGGTAAATTTCCATTATATGAAATTAATAAAACTTCACCAGCTCTATATATTGTACTATGAATGTTTGCTGATTTTGCAATTGTAATTGTTGAATCAACAGTTAAATTATGTGTATCAAATGCTGTTTTCAAAAAAAGCTCGTAATTTTCCAGTAAAGCTACTTTTTTAATTGTCGTATTACGTAATTCTACAAATTCTCCAAAATGTTTTTTTTTCCTAGAATTGCAGCTTGTTTAATTTGATTTCTGTATGCAAGTGTTTTGCTCACATTAATAAAATTACCACTGGAAGCAGCCATTCTTTTAAAACTAAAATGTCTGCTTTCGTTACGCATGGTCCAATATCTAATAGGAGGACCTAATTCTCTTATAACCCGGGGATAATGTATGAGAAAGTGTTGTTTTGGTGTTAAGCGTCGCTCAGGGAAAAGAAATAAAAATAATTTGTGATGTTCATGAATCATCTCTTGTAATAAAAAAGTTTCACTTATTGAAATACGTGGAGCCATAACAATATCAAGTATATTTAATATAAGAAGATATAAATGCCAATAATTATTGTCTGATGGAATTTTATCACCTATAAGTAAAGGTAATGTTCTAATTAAGCACCACATTTGAGCTGCGCTTTGTCCTGTCGAACCACCGGGCTTATTTAGTTGTTCTTTTGTTAATGTAGTTGGCTTATTCTTAACATCACAAAAACCGTAATTGAAACTTTTTAAGCGAGCATTCAGTAAAGATAAAGTAAAAAATTTATCATTGAATATGAACTGTCGTAATACAAGCCGCAATTCTAATGATCCCCAGCCTTCAAATATATCATGCATACAGTCTACTGAAATATTTCTTACAACATGCCAATAACCTAATGTATTAAGACAACAATCGCCATTAATTCCAGTTTCAGAAACTGTTTTAGTTCCATTAAATACGTTTGCTAGTTGTTCTTCGTAATTTTCTGGTGTTCTTGCAAATTTCGCAGAAAGTTCTATAGTACATGAATTCATATCATTTTTGTGCAAGGTACAAAATCTGCAATAATAATTTCCAGTAAAACCTTCGACTAAACCAAACAGTTTCTGAATACCTAAGTTATCTCCAGTAAATTGCCATAAAATAAATTTCAAATGATGTTCAATATTGCCATTTTCATAGATAGTTATGCCATCTCTTTTTAAGTCTTCTAATTCTCTAATAAGAGGCTGCAAAATTTGACCATAGCCATACTTTTTAACATCCATCGCATAATGTATATTACAAAGGAAAATATTTTCGAGAGAAGACATATGTATAAGAGGCAAATCCTTTATTGTGAAATAAACAAGGCCAAGTTTATGAATTCCAGCTTTTGAACCTAAAGGATTTGTAATTTCAACATCATCTATATAAAATTCTAAAGCTATTACATTATCATCAGTGGATAAAATTTGATGATTTTTGTAATAACTACCTTGTTGTATGTTAATCATTTCATTAACTTCATTTTTAGCTCTTCGTTTATACTGCATTATATTATTTAGAACACCATCAGATGAAAGAAATTTTATGAGCAATTTTTTTAATGGAATATGTTGAAATGTTTCTTTTACTTCTATCATACGCGTCACACCTAACTTATATCTATTTTCATAACGCACTCCTAATTCAATTTCTAATGGTGCTACATAGGTTGGCCAATTTATTGTCAAATTTTGTAATTTCGATACAGTAGAATAATTCTTCAAAGCTAATGACAAAATATCAAATTCCTGTAAGAAGTTATTGTGTTCTTCTGAAGAAACATTTCCAATAAGTATATCTTTTGTTCTTTGCTTTAAATAGAGGATGCAATGTGACATTAAATCTGATGTTTTTTCAATACTATTTACCGCCGCAGTGACTGTAATATTTGGTTGTGCCAATAAATCAATGCAGTGCTGAGCAGCTGCATTTTTTACATTTTCAATAGTTTCTGATATATTATAATTACTATCCTGAACAGCTCCATTTTCAACACTTTCAATAGTTTCTGGCATATTATCGTCAGATTGAATTATATTTGTAGAAAAATCTACAGTTTCTATTTTTATTTTATTAGTTAGCAAATGATCTGCGGAAATAATTTCTGGTTGTTCATGCATATTACTGGGATGACATTTTTTATAATGTCGAATAAAATTAAATACTTTCATAAAAATTTGGGAGCAATTATCTTCAGTGCACACAATAACTTCGCCATCTTTAACGTTGTGAAAAAAACGAATATGTCTACGAAACACCTCAACTTCATAAAATATCTTTTTACATTTTGGACATTTCATGATTATTCTGAAACCTGAGAAAATAGCTGCGCTTTTAATTCTCGAACAGAAGCTGGAATATGCTTATCACTAAGAGTAGCAGTTTTATAAAATACAATATCTAAAAAATACCATACATTTTTGCAGAATTCAGAATAATCTATATCACAAATAAAATGTATTTTAAAACATAAGTCCACACCTTTCAGAACAGTCGGCGCATTAATAGCATGATTTTCTACGATAACAAAAATTTGTGATGGTCGAGACTCATCTCCAGTAAGCAGAACAAATGGTTGTTTTCGACGCTTATCTGGTCCTAAACGATCATTAGTAAGATAGTAATCCAAATTTGTTGCTTCCTATAAAGAAATATCAAATTTATAATTTATAGTAAAAGTGTATAATATAAGAATTTTTTAAAATAATGATAAATCCGTTACACTCTCAAATTTCAATTCAAATATGCTAATTGTATATTCTATTATTATAGTTTTTGTCAAAACTATTATGGATAAAGTGTCAGCACATTTATAATAATAATTATATATGAAATAATCTATCTTTAAAAACTAAAATCTATCTTTAAAAAACATAAGATTTAATACTCACAGGAATAACATCGATAAAATGTAATTTGGAAACTTGTGAAGTTGGTTTGATTCTGGTTGTTTCCTTTTTACCTTGCTCCTTAATTAAAAATGACGTTTGAGGGAGAAGAAATGGAAGCAATCTCAATGCAGATATGTTCCGATCAGAATCTATTTTCGAAAGTCATATTAATATCACAATTATTTAAAAATATTTAGAAATAATGAAATATATATTTTATTAACCTTGTGCAGCACTTAATTCTAGTGCAAATTTTTCAGCTGCTGTACGACCGCAATTTTTGGCTTGAAAAATTATTTTTTCTGAAAGCAACCCAAATTCACTGCAGAAAGCATCTCCTTGCTGTTGTGAATATCGTCGTACGAATTCAGTATCTATCTGAAAGATAAAATTAAAAAATGATATTTTAAATATCTATTGCTCTCAATATATTTTTTGCTCATTGGCATTCTCTCTCTCTTTTATATTTAACATTAATATATATTTACAATTTCTGCATCTAATAAACGAGGCCAGGCATCAAGAATTTCCGTAAGAGTATGCTTTTCGTCAAAAATAAAGACGTCTCTTGCAGCTGCAGTATCACGCATACGTTCAATTACAACAGATCTTGGCGTAGAATTTTCTTTCAACCACTGTTGCATTTGTATAACTTCTTGGCTGATTGCTGTATTTTTTCTTGCCTCTTTGTCTTCAGATGCCTTTCTCTTCCGAATTCCAAATGCTGTTTTATCCCCAGGACTAAGACGTTTTCTCCAATTTTTTATTCGTTCTTCAATAAGTCCAGATGACGCGCTTCCGTTTTGTCCTTGACAGAACCACTGTTCCTACACAAATTTTAATTCAGTGGCTACAATAAACTAAAAATTCATAGGGTTTCATATTTTGAAGAGACTTACATAGCCTTTCCCTTCGTGACCTTTCAATGATGGAAATTCTTGTATGATTAGCTGTGCCAAATTGGCCTTCCGTGCTGTACTGGGAAAAGGCCCATATTTTTCAGTAAGTGCCGAAACAAATATTCGATTAATTCGTTGCTTATCACACCAACCAATCTGTTTATTTTCTATTAGCAACGACAAAATATTTGGGTACTTCTTTTCCAATATTTGTTTTAGATCAAGACTAACTGAATCAAAAGATATACGTGCAGAAGGACAAGAATAATCAGATGATGCTAATGAACTTTCTGATTCAGATACACTTGTTAGATCAATATCATTTATACTACTGGAAGTAGTAGGTATTGTCGCTTCGAGTAATACTTCTTCAATTGAGGATTTGTATTCAGCTAATAGTTTTGTAAACTTTAATCGTGGACCAGCTGGTGGAATGAGAACTTTTATCGTATCCGTGTCTAACAATTTTAATGATTCTTGATCGATTTGTTCTCCTGTTAAGGGAAATTAATTTAAGAATATCAAGTATTTCAATTACTTTACTATAATACGATAATATTACACTGGCACAGTTGGTGATATACTAATGCAGTTAAATTTCGGGAGAGCTTACAATAATAAAAAAATTATATATGATAGCAAAATTAATTAAATAAAGTATTAATTGTATCAGCACAACATAAAATATAGCAACTCACAAAATACCGATATTAAACATATTTTACGACACTTACGACGAAAATTATCTATAAAATCACCAAATCCCCACTCTTGAAGTTTTTTAGCAACAAAATCAGTGATATTGGCTTCAGCCATTATCTACAAAAAAATCTAAATAAAAAGAAATACACAATAAAAGGCAATATATAAAGTGGCCAGGTTAGGTGAGGTTATTTAAGCAAACGAATATGAACAAATAAAAAATACAATGCTCATTCAAGACAAATAAATCTAGACAAATACGATTACTTACTGTGAAGC